TGAAGTTCTAGCCAAAGGCGTAGAGAGAGGTCTCTCTTACACGTAAACTATATAAGATTCATGACAAATCTATGGATCTTTATAAGGTCCTCAACCATTTGGCCATCAGAGGTAATAACTTAGATAGAGATGTTACTCTCATGCATCTTGTATTTATTATGGTGGTAGCTGTGTGTCTACCTGTCACACTAATCTATTTAGTGCATACTTCTTGGAACCTAAACATTTTTCTTTTTTAAATATGTTCGTCAACAAGGCTTTGAACAATAACTCGGGTTCATAAGGAAAGAAGAATTTTTTATTTTGAGGGCTCTTTGAATATCACGAGTTCTATTATACAAATGTCTTTTATTTTTTTTGGTATTATACAAATGTATCCATGTTCTAAATTTTAGGGTTTTCAATGAAATGAGAAATAGAATCCTCAATTATATGGACCTATTCCACATCTAAAAAACATAATTTTGAACTCCAATACATCTCCCAAACGAATTGATATTGAAAAAGTCTTTTTTGGTTAGGTGTGATATCATCTTAGTTATTAACTTTAGAATAAATCACCTATACCACATCTACCTAATTGATTTTTTCTTCCAAATGAACTATAAAAAGTATCTAGGACTTTCATAATAACATCAAACTGGTGTGTACTTGCAATGGTAAAGAAAAAAAAGTCGCTAACAAAAAGAAAATGAGATAGCCTACTAACCCAAGATGCAAAGATAATATTTCTACCGATTCTCCATATTTATGTTGTAAATAAGAAGTCCAAGTCTCTTTGCGAAGCGCAACGAGGTAGGGGAAGAATGGATCATTTTTAATTAATGTTAATATATTTTTAATCGTTATTATTATTATTATTATTAATTTTAAACTCAATTGAGAATTACTAAATTTAAACATTTAGAAAACTACCTAGCAATATTGATTGTCATAGATAAGACTTTTGACCTACCATGACTTTTATGAAACTTTTTCAATAAAAGATGCTTTAAATTTAGCTTTCTTTTTCTTCATAAAGATAATAAATAAATAATATTTAACTTATATAAAAATTCATCCTTTAACAATAATATGTCCAAAAAGCTAATTATCGTAAGATGTAACATTATAATAATAATATATTTTTAAATATATTATAATGATTTATTACACTAATAAAAGAGAAGTTACCAAATTTTATTATATTGTTGTCAAATAATAAATGTTTATTAAACTTCAACAATATTCTAATGAGAATAATAATAAAAATGGATAAAAATCTCAATTGAATATTGATATAGTTGAGAACATGGTAGTTATGTATGTGCTTGTCACAAGTATAAATTTATTAGGTTGACTTAAACAAATAAATACTTAGATAGAGTTATATTATGTATTAAATAATAGTATATATATATATATAATAGTAGTATATTGAGTTATTCTTTTGAATTAGTTTTGCAATGATTAAGTTACATAAAATAGAATATATTTTAATATTAAGATATTAAAATTACTTATACATTATTTACTATTAGTTAATTAAAATTTATCACTCTCAACAAATGAGATATATTATCTTATCAATAATTGTTAAAAATTCATGATCTTGGTGGGTTATAAAAAATAAATCTGTTAACACAAATGATATAAATCACTTAATCACAATAAACAATTATTTAGATATAAGACTATTAATGTTTTAGATATTCCTGAATAATGTGGAATGAATAAGTATAGTTTCACGGAATATATTAGTGTATAACTTTTTTTTCTAAAAAAAAATCATTTAAATGTTTTAAATGAATTACGAACATTTTTATATTTTAATTACATAATGTAGATTAGATGTAATATATAGATAAAATATTTAAAATTATAAATTTAATTATTTTATAAATATTATTTGTTGTGTTTTATCTATGACAAAATATTTATGTTGAGTTTACGTGAGTATTTTTTTACTATATTTCCACCAAAACTTTAAATTCCTTTGACCACTTAAAAAGCATGAAAATTTTATCTAATACGTATATTTTTTTAAATTGGTATTTCATTTATTAAATCTAAGATCTAATTAAATCGTTTTAACATTTATTGTTAAATATTTCTTCTTTTAAAAAAAAAAAATTGAAAATACAATATTAAAATGTGATACCATTTAGGTTGGTATGTATATCTTTACATTTAACATGTTTGAAATAATACAAACTCCAATGCTGTCTCCTCTTCTCGTAACTACTACCCTCTCTATCTATTATTATTATTATTATCCCAATGCACACCAAACTTTGTAAACAGTGACTCACTACCTGTCATCTCTTTTATTTTTCTAATGAAATTTACAAGAGTGAAGAAAATAAAACCGAAGCAAAAGAATTTTGTCGTTTTGGTACTTCAAATTTCAGTGCATTTTGTTTTTTTTATATGCCAGTTTCCATTCTCTTTCTATTCTTCTATCCTATTCCCATTCAATCAAACTCCCATAAAATTTATATACATATATATATATATATATATGTAAAGATTCCACCATACCCATCATCTATTTTTTTAACATTATGGAATTTAAGTTCATCTTTTTTTAAAAAAAAAAAAATTAAACAAAAAATCCTCAAAGTGGGGTAGTGCCAATTGACTAATACAGGTCAAGTCATAGATTATAATAATTCCCATAAGTTTTCTTTATTCTTTTATTTTATTTTATTATTATTTTATTTTTTAAAAAAAAAGTAGCAATGATTTGGAAAACTGAATTTCCCTTCTTCTTTTGTTAGTAGCGTAAATCATAATATAATGTTGCTAAATATTCACACTCAGCTTCCACTTAACTCAATTTCTTTTTTCTGGGAAAATTAAACAGTTCAAAGAAATCATGCTTTGTTTCCTAATTCGAATATTTAGATTTGACGGAATTAAATTGTACTAGACGTTCTTGTTACCTCTTTCTTTGATTTGAAGAAGCAACAAAGAAAGCAGGGCATGAAGCTTTCAAAGTTAGATGCCAGGGGTCGGTCTTTAATGGAAAATGACTTCACCACCTTCTATACTTGAACACTCAACAATTAATTTATCTGTGTTAATAATATATAAAAGTAAAAATGTAATCAGAAACCATCATGAAAATACCACATTCACATTAATTAGATGTGACCCATCAAAATGTAACATACTCATGGTTAATTTCTTTTTTTTTTTTTTTTTTTTTTTGGGTGTGTATGATTAATTTACTTGGTTCAAAATTAACACTCGATGATTTCCCACAAATACTTTCTTACCAATCTTATATAAATATAGACAATTAGTGTTAATCATGGTAAGTAGAAAATTTTTATGAATGTAATAAGGTTATTAATATTGGTTAAGAAGATAAGATATGAAATTTTTTTGATTTGGTATGTTATACATTGTGTATATAATAAAAACAGAGTATCACATGTCCCGAAAAAAGAAAATTAGGAAAGTCCTCGATGTCATTTTGTTTTCTTCATAAATGAAATTTGTTTTTTCACCAACGGCTTTTAATATATATATATATATATATATATTTTCACTCAAAATCCGAAAATATAGAAATAGACAGAATCCACGTGGGTTATTCTCAAAATTTCAGAAAGGGTAATTTGGTCATTTAATTACCATATAACAAACGCCAATTAAACACCTCATATAATATCGCGCCATGTCTCTTCCACTCCATTTCTTCTCTCTGCACAGAAGAAAATGAAGCACCAGACAATAAAGACCAGGCTCTAGATAGAGAGAGAGAGAGAGAGAAGCAGAGGAGGCCGAGAGGGGGAAGATCCGGTTCGAGATCCCAAAATGGCAAGTGGGTGGGTCAAGTCTCTGCAGTGCAAGTCCAGAGCATTCGAAGACGTGTATCATCCCAATCCCAGAAACCTTATGTCCAGCTCCAGTTGCAGAAAGAGCGCTCAGAGCATCAAAGATGTTATTGAAACTACGACCAAGCCAAAACCTAGAAAACCTAACACCAAACCCGCTCCTTCCTCCTACCCAAAACAAAACAAAACCGAGCCCGTTTCAAATCTCCACGTCCGCCCTCGCCATGCCGTTTCTTCCCGACCCACCCGCAACCCGGACCCGCTTTTACCTGCCCTGAAGGAGCTTCCCCATGGTCACCCGTCACGCAATGTGGTGGAGATTATATTCCACACCAGCTGGAGCCCCAAGGCTTTCACAGGTCGGATCGAGATGATATTCAAGGTACAAAATGGGTCCAAGAACGTTGCTCGGTTCGAGGAGTACCGCGAGTTGGTCAAGGCGCGGGCTGGGTCGGGTTGCCTGACTGACGGAAGCACCCGGGAGGAGAATGCACGGTGCGTTGCGGACGGAAACGAAATGATGAGGTTCCACTGCCTGGGGCCCACATCCGCTGATTGCGGCAGAGACGTACCCGACGCGTGTGGCGGTGCGTGGTTTTTTCCCAGAGGGAAAGGGGCTGCAATATGTACTTTTTCCGGCAGCGGCGGAGCTCACGAGAGCGCTGGCGGCGGAAGGGGTAGGCGAGCGATGCTAGTGTGCAGAGTGATAGCAGGTCGGATCTCTAACCAAGTTGGGTTTGGGTTGGAATCGTTATTCTCGGATGGGCGAGTGGGGTTTGACTCAGTGAGTGGGGAGAATGGCGAGTTACTCGTCTTTGATCCCTGTGCTTTGTTGCCGTGTTTTCTGATAATTTACAAATTGTAAAAATAATGAAACTTTTTTTTTTGGGGGAAAAAAAAAAAATCTTTAGGGTGAAATTATTATTTTTTAAAAAATTTTTTTTTTACTGGTAGAGATCAGTTTTTTTTTTTTTTTTTTTAACCTTTCATTTATTGACATTTTTGTTTCTTTTTCACTTCTTTGGGTACCTTTGAATTGAATATTTTAAATATATTATAATAGTAATTATTATTATTAAATTGGGTTGATGAATGTGTGTGTGTTTATATATATATATATATATATATATACATACCGTTTTTCATTAATTGCCACCGTTATAATTATATTTCTCTTGTAATTAATTAATAGAATTTGTTTGACCTTAACAAAAGTAGTTTGGGTTTTGGTTGGGAATTTTGAAATTAGATTCAAATTGTAAGCGAGCATAAATGCTCTTAATTCAATCGCGAAATACCATTTTAACCGCTACAAATATTTTTTACACTAAAATTTTAGTGATTTTATTATTATATAATCACCAGTTAGGCTCTAATCTGATATGATAATTCACTTGTAATTCATCTTTTCTTGTTGTCTCAATTTCTTTAATTTACACTTTTAGTTAGATCAATCTACAACCACACCAATTTTTACTTGTTACCAACTGATGTACATGTCATGGTGCAACCTTCAAGATTAAAAGGCAAAAATTCAAATAATAACAAACAAATACATAAAACGTGTAAAATAATGGTATATTTCTTGTCAAAAGGTGAAATGTAATGATACATGTCTAAAAAGAGTCTGTCAAGACAATCTTAATATATAAGTTATAAATTAATGTAATTAAATGTATAGACTACTGTAGTAAACATTTTAAAGAACCACGTGCATTGATGCAATTAACAATATATGGAGTAAATTATAAAAAAAAATAATAAAAGTATTATATGGTACTTTGTATAGATTCTCTTTTGAAAAATGAATTTATGCAACATAACAAGTTTTACTTTCAACCAAAAAAAAAAAAACCAGTTTCTCAATTTTCAGGATTCCCATATCAAGTAACTTTTTTGGAAAAATGCATAATAAAAAAGGATTTATTAACTTAGGAAACAACATTAATTTGGATATATTAGTTAAGTTTATGTTTTAGCATAACAGAGTAGAGTAAGAGAACTTAAATGAGTGCTTATTACTAACAAATTTTAGAAGTGTGCATTTATTCCAAGTTTAATTTAAAATAGAAATTTAAATTTTGATTTTTATATATAATAAAATATAATAAAAGATATAATGTGTATTCAATAATTATAAGTACCAAAGGAATAATAACTCATGTACAAAATATATTTATATGTTAATTATAAAATTAATAAAATTATATAAATCGTTTGTAGAGTATAAAAAATTATCCGTAAACAAAAGATCCAGGATTTCATACCATGTAGCTCTAACCTTAACAATCTTCTTCCGTCCTTTTAAAAACTATTGTATTTACTTTCTTTGCGCATTACACAAAAGATAATTAGAGGAATAAGGCTCAATTATTTTTTTCCTACCACTAACACCCTTCATGCCTATATCTCCTCCCTAACATTACTCGTTGTTACCAAATTGATGCCCAATAACCCATATGTCGTACTCCATAATTTATATGCTAGAAGTCACCGTAGAAAAATATGATCATAAGTCCCCTCCACCCTTTTACAAAGAAAGCAATCCTTCACCAAAATCTTTTCCCTTCTCATCAACTTGTCAATTGTATATCCACATTCTACTCCCAAGCAAATAAA